TTTGAGGATATCTCATTAGGGTTTAGGGATGGGCTAGTAACACATTATTACCTTTCCCATTTAACACACTATAGAACACAGGCTGTCTATCAGAAATGCACTATTTATGCTGTTTTCAAGTCCTTTGGGTATAGACCAAGGAGAGGGATAGCTGGGTCAAATGGTGGTTCCATTCCCAATTTTCCAAGAAATCTCCATACTACTTTCCATATTGGCTGGACCAATTTCCAGTCCCACCAGCAGTGTATAAGAATACCTTTTTTCCCACATCCTCGCCAACACTTATAGTTGTTTGTATGCATAATAGCTGCCATTCTGACTGAAGTGAGAGTGGTTTTTCTTTTTTAGTGCATTTTTCTTTTTTAGTGCATTCTTTTTTAGTGTTTTTTTTTAGTGCATTATCACTAATTGCTAGTGAAAATGAATATTTTTTCATGTGTTTGTTGACTGATTATATATCCTCTTCTGAGAAGTACCTCCTCAGGTCCTTGGCCCATTTATTGATTGGGTTATTTGTTTGTTTTGTTTTGTTTTTTTGGTGGCTAGCTTTTTGAGTTCTTTATATAACCTAGTGATTAGTGCTCTATCTAATGTGTGAGGGGTTAAGATTTGCTCCCAAGATGTAGGCTCTCTATTCACCTCACTGACACGAATTGGTGAGTATACTATGTATACAACCAGAGATAAGAAAAATTGGGCTCTCTATATAAGAATTGTAATGCATTCTGCTGTTATATATAAATAAAAATTAATTAATTAATTAATTTGAAAATTAAGGTTCAAAAAAAAGATAAGAAAAGAAATACACTATTTAACCCATTTTTAAGATCAGATTAGATTTTCTTTCTTTTCTTTTTTGGTACTGGAGATTTATTCAGGGACATTCGGCCACTGAGCCACATCCCCAGCACTATTTTGTATTTTATTTAGAGATAAGGTCTCACTGAGTTGCTTAACACCTCTCTTTTGCTGAGGCTGGCTTTAAACTCATGATCCTCCTGCATCAGTTTCCCAAGCCGCTGGGATTACAGGCGTGCATCACAGTGCCCAACAGATTACATTTCCATAATGAAGATTATTACATGATTAAATTCTGAAAAAAATCTCTGTATCTCCTCCACTTTATGGTCCATTTGTACATTTACTTTTGTATCTATTCTACATTTACATTATATATAATTCAGATAGATTCTGTATCTTTACCTATACCTATTCTACATATCTTTTACAAAATTTCTCATAACTTAAGAGCTAAAAAGCATCTCAAAAATCATTTAGTGGACAAAGTGGAGGGAGGAGAGGAGAAGGTATGGGAGTAGGTAAGTTGGTGAAATGAAACAGACATCATTACCCTAGGTACATGTATGGTTGCACAAATGATATAACTCTGCATTGTGTGCAACCAGAGAAATGAAAAGTTGTGCTCCATGTGTGTACAATGATATGTATACAAATGGAACACACATAAATGAATGGCTCAAGTTCTGGTGTATAAATAATTTTAAAATTTTAAAAAATTAAAAAATCATTTAGTAATCTTCCCCATTATAGATGAAGAAACTATAATAAGAAAGACAAATCAATATCTCCCAAAGTGAAAAAACAGGGTCAAACTCTTGACAAGTTCAGTACTCTTAGGACTATCACATACTGGCCAACATACAATATTCATCTTAAGTGGTCAGTATACTTTTTCTGTAAAACAATATTTTAGGCTTTGTGGGCTTATATCATCTCTGTTGCAATTATTTCACTGTAGCAAAAAAAAATTATCATAAAAAATACACAAGTACATGGGCATGATTATGTTGCAATACCATTCTATTTACAGAAAAGGCAGCAGGCCATAGGCCATAGATTGTCAACTCTTTAAAGACCTGACTTAGATGTTAGGGAGGAAAAAAAGTGGCTCTTAATATAACAACACAGTAAATATGAAAATAAAGAAGGCTTTCCATGCTCAAGTCTCCTAGAAAAGTATTAAGGTCCATGAGAAAATAAATCTTTTGACACTTAAGATATTTATTAAATGATAACATTTACTAAATTACTATTATTTTGAAAGGCCTTTTATTTACTAATCATTTGTCTGAAACTCAAATGACCAATACTGAAAATAATAACTCTAAAGGAAATATCCTAAAGGAAAAGATAAAGATTAGACTGGAAAATGAGCCAGTATCTAAAGATCGCTCTTTTTTTTCCTTCTATATTCTTATAATTATATTACAGTTGTAATGATGGGATTTATTGACACATATTGGTACATACACAAAATATAATAATTTGGCCAATACCATGCATTCCCCTTTCCGTCCCAGGGTCTCTTTTCTTTTTAGATCTCCCTTCAATTTTCCTGAGGTATGCCCCCATCTTCCTTTTTCTTCTTTGACTTCTACATATGAGAGAGAACATAAAACCTTTGACTTCCTGAGTTTGATTTATTTTACTTAACATAATGTTCTCAAGTTCCTGCAAATGACATAATTTCATTCTCCTCTATGGCCAAATAAAATTGTGTGTGTGTAATATATATATATAAAATCACATTTTCTTTATCCATTCATCCACTGACGGATATCTAGGCTGGTCCCACAGTTTGGCAATTGTAAATTGTACTGCTATAAATATGGGTATGCATGTATTGTTATAGTATGTTGACTTTTAATTCTTTAGGATAAATAATGAGGAATGGTATGGCTGGGTCATATGGTGATTCCATTCTTAGTCTTTTGAGGAACTATACTGATTTCTATAGGGGTTGTACTAATTCACAATCCTACCAACAGTGTAAAAGTGTTCCTTTTTCTCCACACTGTTGCCAGCATTTATTATTGCTGTATTCTTGCTGGCTGCCATTCTAACTGGAGTGAGATAAAAACCTCAGTGTAGTTTTGATTTACAATTCCCTAATTAATACCTAGAAAAAAATTGTAAAACTTACTTAGATTAAGAGCACCTTTCACACAGAATCAAGGAAATTACAAGCACTTTCTGTTCCATACTCAAGTGTAAAACATTTCTAGTTTCTTCATGACTTTCTCACTTGAATTTGATAGATTTTGTTTTGGCAATCCACCTTTACTGAGTGTTCCAGAACAATCACCTTGGTTTTCATAGGAAGAATGTTTCTTATAATGACATTTCCATTAGTTTATTTTGATTTAATTACATTATATGATTATAACCACAGATACAAGTAGTATAAATAGGTTTGGCAACCAAAACAACCAATGCTTGATAAATACACATAAATCAAAGGAACTGTTAGAAGCAGAGTATCTATCTATAAAAGATGAATCTACTAGCCTGAGTATTAAGCATATCATGAGCATCAGGCAGTGCGTTTATGCCAAAAAGAATATAGAACTTCAGGTATTTTGGAAAATTGTTGAGTGGAAGCCATTTAATACAACTTCAATTATATATTGAAAACTGTCTATATTTTTTGATCAATAAAGTATTGACTGAAACTGTAAGGACAGATGGATGGAAATGCATAAATTCTACCAAATAATCAATGGTACACATTTCTCAAAGAATGAATATGTATATGTAAGGGATAAAATTATATTTTACCAGGAAGAAGTTGTGGCTCAGTGGTAGAGCATGTGTGAGGCGCTGGGTTTGATTCTTAGCACTGCACATAAATAAATGAATAAAATAAAGGTCCATCAACATCTTTTACAAATTTTTTTAAAAAGCATTTTTAAAATTATATTTTATCTACAATCATATAAAAATTTTTAAACTGTATTAATATATTGGTTTAAGTTTAATCTTAGTATTATCACAGATACATGACTTTGTTATCGAGCTATACTGTTAGGACATAGCCCCATCTACTGGAGAAATAGACATATTTCGAGAGCTTATGTTTTATACCTTTTTACTAATTTTGCAGTAAACTTAACAAAACTGACTTTTAGAAAAGCCAGTTTTTACATTCTTTTTTTTTTTTTGGTGACTTAAATAAAGTTTATTTTTTAAAAAATGTCGTTATTTTTGCAATGCCATGGTTAGAGGACTTTATGAAGAGGTAACATAATTTCCTTTTCTTTAACCATGCTTTTTATTTTCAACGTTCTGCACAAAGATAAAAGTTTTTGTTAATCTCATAGTTAATGATATAAAACAAAGGTCAGCAAACTTTCTTGAAAGGGCTAGACAGTAAATAATTCAGGTTTTATCATGTGTTCTTTATCTTATACCCTCTTGAAAATGCAAAAAACATTTTTAGTTTGTACCATACAAAAAAAGATGGCCAAATTTGCCCTGTAGTTGGTAGTTTGCTGACTCGTGGTATAAAAKATCTACTTTGTCTTATGAGAGAAAAATGCTCTTTTAGGCTTCTGGACAGTCTACTACTGCCTGAAGTCAAGTAGAGAAGAGCCTTATTTATAATTGAATGTGGCTTGTGAAAAAGGTAGAAATGGAGAGTTCTTGCTCACTTTTGACTCTCCCAGGCAATTTTCCCATTCATTCATTCAATAAATTTGTTAAGCACCTRCTATGTACACTCTTTTAAGTATTTTTTATATTAGCAAGATTTCCAGTGTTTCTTTAAAAGGGCAATTCCTCCAGTTTCTCTAATCAGGAGTTACCAGGTCTTAATAGTCATGTTTTAGGGAAAATTGGGGTTAAAATTTCTACTGGCATTCAAGAGAATTCATGATTATAAAAAAAAATGAATCTAGCTTAACAATGATAATGTTGCACTCAATATTGACACATCCTTCTTAATGTCACAGCCTATATGAAGAAAAATATTTAACTATCTTAGATACTTYATCCCATCAGTTGAAATTTTCTTTAAAAAAGATCTCAGATCTTAAACACACTCCAAATAATTTCTTCCCACTTTCTTACGTTTTCTGTCATGTAACATAAAATCCAATCCAAGTAGGGTTTTTGATTAGTTTTTCTTTTTGGCAGCACTGGGGATTGAAGCCAGCAGTGAGTCTCTAGGCCTTTTTTTTTTTTTTTTTTTTTGAGACTGGTCTCACTAATTTGCCCAAACTGGCCTCAACTTGTAATCCTCCTGCCTCAGCCTCCCCAGGAGCTGGAATTACAGCTTCCTGATTAGSTTTATATATCAGCCATAAAACTATACTACACTTAGGAGTAAATATTACCTCTGAAGTAATTTATACTTGCACTTTTCATCTCAGAGGAACGGTCATGTTTCTTCTCCCAGAAGAAAACCCTGTTAGCTTTCTGAATCCTATTTATTCAAGGAAAATTAGGTGAGGGAAGACATTTTATAAAAAAGGAGCCAAAAGGAGCACAGAACTTCAGTATTAAAATATAAAGATTGCCCCAATTGCAGCTCTTTGGTACAGACATTAATTATCTGATCATCCACATCAGCAAAACATGGCACATTTTTGTAATTAAAAGTGATBGTGATTTTCCTTTTGACCATGTAAACAAAAGGGAAATGCCTTGGGAAAGAACTATGCAATGTTTTCTCATTTCTCTTAAATACACATTTGCAAAGCCAGTTTTCCTTTTCATCAAGTTCTTGAAGCAGGGGAAGAATTGAACAGGCCAGGGTTATCGCTTTCGCTCCCCTCTCTGTGTCCTTTTCTTTTCCTTTTCCTTGCGCTCCTGCTTGGCTAGTTTGTCTCTCTCCCTCTGCAGCTTGTCCTGTTCCTTCTTTCTTTGGGACTCATCCCGAAGTGAGTCTCTCTCCAATTTCCGAGCATTGAGGACATCTTCTACATTGGTGTTTCGAAACAGATTTATCTGAACCAATGTTCATCGTGGTGGCACCTGAATCATCCTTCTCATCTGCTTCATCCTCTTCATCTGTTACATCAGCATACTGGGCCAGCAGGGCAGCTTTTCTCTGTTTTTCCTCTTCCGACACCATCCTGGGCTTCACCACAATCTGTGCCTGCTTCTCAATGAGGGTGGCAATGGCCTGTACCTCATCTTCTTTTTTCACTTTGGTGACAACATTCTGAGTTTCAGACCATCGTTCCACAATCTCCTTGCAGATATTAAGGAGTGAATCTTCTTCCAGAAAAGCAGACAGGATACCCTGCAGAGCGTCCAACTTCTCTTCTTCCTCCTCCTCCTGCAGGACACCAAGGATGTAGGAACCGTAAACGGCTTGGTCCACTCCCAGCGCCTCCAACCGTCGTCCAGCCAGGATCCAAAACCCCCACCACCACCATCACTTTCGCCCGAGGTTGCCGCGGCCACTTCGCAGGGCGCCGCCATCTTGGGGTCCCAGTTTTTACATTCTTAACTTGCAATTATCTACATTTTTCCTAATCAACATTCTGGCCCAGATTTTCATTTGTGAAGTAATATTTCTGAATAACAGGGATTTCCTGAACATCTAACAAATTTTCCCATAAGAAAACAAATAGTAGCACTGATCTTGGAAAAGAAAAAAATTTAGTATTTACACTATGAATTCTAAAGTAGAGGATAAAATACACAAAAATTACTCCACAAAGATACAGATATAGAGTAATATCCTATAAACAAATACCAATGTAAACTCTCAAAGTTCCACTAATTCCATGGTCATAACAACAGACAGATAAGAGGACAGACAAAAACAAAACAGGGTTTCTGAATTCTTTGTTGACTTTTCCACAATAATGAGTAACAGTAAAAAGTTCTGAATTTTTAAGAATTTGATGAAAAAACAATAACATAGCAGATTTAAGGATTAAAAAGTTCTCCTCTAATGACTACTTTAAATACATATTTATTTATATTGACAAAAATTGCATATATTTATCCTGTTTTGAAATATACATATGCATTGTGGTATGGTTAAATAGAGCCAACTAACATCTCATTAACTTATTTTTCACTGTTTCCTGATAAAAATCAATAAATTTAGTCTCTCAGCAATTTTCAAGAATACAATACATTGTTATTAACTGTAAATACCAGGTTATGCAATAGAGCTCCTGAACCTATTGCTCCTTACTGAAATTATGTATCCTTTGACCAAAATCTTCATCTCTAGTAACCACCATTAACCTCTACTTCTGTGTTCTACTTCTTTAGATTCTACTTATATGTGAGCTGTTTTTGTTACATATATTTTTAAATAATATCAAAATATATTAATCATTAATGTAACTGAATTCCAAACTCTATTATTTTTAATCATAATACAAAGTATATAAATTTAACTCAACAAAAGCCCAATTAAAATCAATCAGCATTGGGGCTGGGGCTGTGACTCAGTGGTAGAGCACTTGCCTAATATGCATGAGGCACTGGGTTTGATCCCTGGCACCACATACAATAAACAAATAAAATAAAGATATTGTGTCCATCTTTAACTACAAAAATATTAAAAATAAATAAATAAATCATCATTAAAGGTATAGAATCAGTACAACCAGTAACAGATTTTTTTTTCTCCTAGAGCTTTTATTTCCACATCTCTGCATAGTCTCAATATAGAATTTAAGTATTTTCCTCTTGGTGTTATTAATTCCATGTCTTTAATATTAATTAGTTTACTACTCAGTGAAGTTAGTTCATATAAATAGTAAGCTTCTGACATTAGTTTTTTTTTAAAGAGAGAGAGAGAATTTTTAATATTTTTTTTTTTTTTAGTTCTCGGCGGACACAACATCTTTGTTTGTATGTGGTGCTGAGGATCGAACCCGGGCCGCACGCATACCAGGCGAGCGGGCTACCGCTTGAGCCACATCCCCAGCCCCTGACATTAGTTTTTAATACCATTTATTTTAACATATATCTAGTGTCCACTGAGTATTATACCTAGCAGAAGAGTATGTTTCAATGAACTACTCAATGTAAAGATTTTCAAGAAATTGTTGATCTATTTTGGGAACTTAAACATTTCCAACCTTCTAAATTTTCTTCAATGGTCAGGGTAGGGTTTTTGTTGTTGTTGTTGTTGTTGTTTGTTTGTTTTTTTGTTTTTTGTTGTTGTTTTGTTTTGGTTTTGGTACCAGAGATTGAACTCAGGGACACCTGACCACTGAACCACATTCCCAACCTAATTTGGATTTTATTTAGAGATGGGTTTCACTGAGTTGCTTAGTGCCTTGCTTTTGCTGAGGCTTGCTTTGAACTTGCAATCCTCCTGTCGCAAACCTCCTGAGCCTCTAAATTACAGGCCTATGCCACCATGCCCGGTTCAGGGTGCTTATTTTATAAAACAAAACTATTTTTAACTAAATAATTAATTAATTTTGGGTGCTAGGGATTGAACCTAGCTAGGGCTCCACTCCTGCTAGGTAAGCGTTCTTCTACTGAGCTACAATCCTCAGTCACTTAAATATTTTTTCATACTTCTTTTAATATCTCATCTACTATGTCTCCCAAGCGTTCATGTGTTGGAGGCTTGGTCTTCAGGGTTCTGATATGGAACCTTTAAGAGGGGAACATAATTACGTCACTGGGGCTAATTACACACTAAAACATTTAAAGCAATACACTTGATTGGATAAACTGATTTTTTACAATTATTATTTCAGATCCTCACCTGGCAACTGAATTTTTACAATTATTATTTCAGATCCTCACCTGGACTTGAAAGAAGGTAAAGGGAGTATCAATGGTTGGAAGAAAAAGAATACACTGCTAGAACAAGAATCTCATTCAAAGGCAACTTATTACAAGCCAATTTCAGGATTTGCCCTTACAGGCATTCTATAAGATCCTGTATCCTTCTCTTCTTCCTGCAACAACCTTGAAAACTTTGTGATGGTTGTATCACAGGATGGAGGGAAATGTTATTTCTGCTATGGTGTGGATACAGTCTGAGTACATCCCCCAAGGGTTCATGTATTCAAGGCTTTGTCCTCAGTGTAGCAATATTGGAAACTGGAATGGAATCTTTAAGAGGTAGGCCCTAGCAGAATATAATTAGATCTGTGAGGGCATTACTTTTAGAAGGAATCCATATATTTCTCACGGAATCTTGGTTAGTTCTCACAAGAAAATTGTTATAATAAAAGAGTGTGCAAAGCCTCTTTCCAGTCTGTGACTTTCTGTCTTATCATGTGATCTCTTTCTCTCTCTCTCATATGTTTTTTGATGCCATCCACTCTGAGGTCCCCACCAGAACCAAGTCAATGCTGGTATTAATGTCCTTAAACTTCCAGAACTGTGAATTAAAACAACAAAAAAAAAAAAAAAAAAAAAACTCTTTTCTTTATAAAGTATCCAGCCTTGGATATTTCATCATAATAACAGAAAATAAACTAATATAATCTCTAAGCCAAACTGAGTGAGAAATAACTTTTTGTTGTATTAAGCCAAAATCTGGGGGTTATTAGTACAAGATAGCCTCTTTCTATACCAGAACACAACTTTAGAGACTTCCACCCTTCCTCCCTCAATGCTGACCAAAGAAGTTTCTTCATGAAGTAAAAATAAATGTCAACAATAATCCTGTGGTACCTGAGACTCTCTTAACCCAAGTTCATTCCATCTTCTTTCTTGAAAACACTCCCCCTCCCTCCCTCCCTCCCCCCCTCTCTCTCTCTCTCTCTCTCTCTCTCTCTCTCTCTCTCTCTCTCTCTCATTTTTGACCTTCGTTATGTCTTTGTTCTTCACCACCATTTCCAAATTTCAGATACGAGGAGACGCGACAGTAGACAGTGACTCTATACTGGTAAAATGAAATAACTATGGTGAAAAAAATTCAAAGAACTGAATAGATAAATAGACTATAAAATGTGTCACCTTCATGGAGAAATGCTCCATTCTCAGAGAAATACACCTCTCCAAGAAGTAGGACTCTTTCTTAGTGAACACTATGCTACTCATATCTTTATTTTAGCCCAAGGGGAGACTATTCAGATTTCTGAACCTTAGACCTATAATAATAAACTCTGTTATTTTAGGCTACCAAAATTGTAGAGCTTTCTTAGAGTTATTACAGCAGTGATAAGAAACTTAAAATATATGCTTTGTGGGTTTTCTAGCTTTCAAACCACCTAGTATATTCAAAGATATTTCCAATTTCTCTTATGGAATAAATTCAAAATAGAGGAAGCATCACAGTCATCAATTAACTGGAAACTAAAACTCCTGATGATTAGAAACCTACCAAAAACCATATCTCCATTCTCCCTAGAGGGGTTATTTCTCATATCACTAGAAGAGAGTTCTAACACACTAAGGTTTGTGTTAGCTGAAGGAAAATACTTTCTAAACAAAGTACTTTTTCATTCAGTCATTTCCTATAACTAGTTCCAAGATGATTACTATGGAGTCATAAAATAAATATTGGGATATAGGTACCATCATTTATTAATCTGTTGCCTTTGAAACTAATTTTTTCTGTCTTAGAGAATCAAGGAGATAAGTGATCATTAAAATTCTAGATTTCACAAACTATTAACATCTCTAAGCCAGAACTATTGCCAAGTTTTTACTGTACAAAGATTTACAAAAAAAGAAAAGAAAGAACCACCATCTATTATCACAAAACTTTCAAAAAATAAAGAACATTTTGGCAGTACAAAACTTCAGAAAGGACTGAATAAACTTAAGTTTGTTTAAAAAGAAAAAGCCAGATATATTCTAAACTCTCCAAATCTCTACAAACAACAATCAGAATAGTAAAACCAAATCCACAATCAAAATATCTTTCACAAAATTAGGTAAATATCAGAATACACCACCAACAATTTTAAGACCTATATGATGTATAGCATCTAAACAAAAAGAAGCACAGGGAAACAAAAGCAAAATGGTATCTGAGACTCATGAGAATCTCTAAAATGAACAAGTATGCTCTTAGTAGGCAAGGATTCTCCATACAGAAGGGATAGGCAACCTAAGTCTTATAATCTCTTGGACAAAAGTTCATTATACACTGTGCAGATACTGGAAATTGAATCCAAAACCAACAGAAAAGCAATAGCAGTGAAGGAAAAACAAAGTCCAAATAAATGATAAAAGATGGGGAGGGTGATTGATGATAGGGAAGGAGATACAGACAGGAGGTCTCAGAAAGAGAATAGCCATTAAAAAAAAAAAAAACTGCTCAAAAACAACAGAAAACACTTTTCCAAATAATTTTTTATTTTTACGTATTTTGACAACTCATTTGGAAAATGTAAAAGGGCTTAAAAACCATATTTATAAACTGGTCACATTCTAACTATAGTCACCACAAATCAGAGCTGATCCAATATCAAATGATGTTGATTTCATGATATTATAGAAATCACTGATGAAAGAAAAACAAACCAAACAAACTTAGA